TAATTTTTAATTTTGATATTTAAAAATATAAAAATGATGGGGTTCAAACTTTTGCTTGATAATCAAAACTTAAAAAAATATTTTAATCTAAAAATTTAAATTATTAAAGAAAATCAAAGAATGGTTTTTCAGATGAGTATTAGTCTCATGGCAAATTTAAAGAAAGAGGAGCAACATTCAGAATCGAATCAGTGCATGCAAGGGCTGCCATAGTTTTTTTTTTTTTTTGAAAAAAAAGAAAGAAAGTAGCAATCGTAATAAACTGAGCAGAGTAGATTTTTGATGAGTTAACTACGTTTTTATTTATTAATTGGTTAATTTTTTTAAATCATGTGTGTTTTTTAATTTTTATTAGTTGAATAGATTAAGTTGTAATTTTTTTTAATAAAATGTTTTAGTTGACTCACATTAACTTTACATGGCTATGGTTAGTAACTGCACATTGCTATTAGTTTTTTCCCCCTTATGTATATACAAATTTATCAATTTTTTTATTTAAACGTGTAAATTTTGATATTTTTTATTTAAATATACTAACTTGTAATTTTATTCTATTTAAATAGTTTTGTTAATTATGGACTGGTGTGTTTTCTAACTACATACCTAGAAGTGCAATGTGAGCCCCATTGTGAATTGTTTGTTTCTTAAAAAAAAAAAAATCTACTCAAAGAATAAAAATAGACCAACTAGCAAATATATAACATTAAACAAAAAACTTTTCCAATTAACTCACCTTATCCAATCCAGATTCGAGTAATCTTTCACTTCAAATTAAAAATTCAATTTCATATCTCATCTTTTAAAAAAGCACTACTAGTTTTAATTTTGTTTATTGAGAACGAAAATGAATCGTTGTCTCAACTAATAAACACGGCTAAGTTTTTGTAATTTAATTTTCAATCCTTTTTTATATTTGAATATATTTAAGTAATCTATTTGTCTTTTGCTTTTTAAATTAGTTTTATTTAATATCATAAATATCCGATTGCTTAGTTTGTAATTTATCTTTCTTTATTGCTTATAATGGATCCACATAACGGTTTAATGTGTGCAATTAAAAAATACATCGAGTCTAGAGTTAACGAATCATTCAAATAGAAAAATAATAGGTACGAGTCAAATAGCAAAAATTAAATTTACATACTCAAATAAAAAAAATAAAATGATAAATTTGTATAAAAAAAGATAGTAGAGCCACCATATCGATGCCAAGAGCGTAGTTAGTGGCCATATGAGTATAAAGTTAATGACAATATTTAATAAGAAAAAAATAACAACTTAATCTATTCAAATAATAAAAATTAAAAAGCACACTTCGTTTAGATAACAACAAATTGATAAACAAAAATTACAATTAACTATTTTTTTGACGACTTTTATGAAGAATCGATGCAATATTATTATTATTATTATTTAGAAATTTTTTTGTTGTAGCTGGATTTTCTATGGCAAGGTGTTATGTGCTTAATTGATTAGTGGTTGTGATCTTTTAACTTCGACTATAAAATCATTGTACAATAAACTTTCTCAAACCTTATTAATTTATTATTATTATTTTTTAGTATTTTCTCGTTAATATTTGATTTGTATGAGTTTTGCACAACGAGATAAAATTAAAATGAAGATCAAACTCGGATACAAAATTTAAGAAATTATAAATTGCTCATATGTGATTATATCAACGTTGATATGTATTTACTCTCTTGCAACAAAAAACCACGGTAAATGTTATCTTATGTCCCGTGCATCAAAAAAAAAAGGTCGGGTTTGAGAGGGTTTTATACTATTCCCTTGTTTGGATAGGATGGAAAGTGGGGGAGAGGAAAGAAAATAGGGAGAAAATGAAAATTTTCCTCCGTTTGGTTTGCGAGAAGAAAGTCGTGGAAAGAAAAAAAATATTAAACAAATCTATAAGCGGTGGGACCCATTTTCCTCTCAAAATTGGGAGGAAATGGGGAGAAAAACGAAAGGAAACCGATTTGTTTTTATTTTTTTCGCTTCGCCCTTGCCCGGCGTTCCTTCTCTTTCTCTTCCCCGCCCATCTCATCTCTCGCGCAAATCCACTCTCTCGCTCTCGTTTACCAACGACCCATCATTGAATCTCCGCCAACCCCACCTCCATTTCCGCCCTTGCTCGCCGTTCCCTTCGTTTCTCGGCCGATCTCGCCTCTGCAAACCCACTCCCTCTCCGTCGCCGAATCCATTACCAACGACCTATAATTTGTTTTTTGTTTTTTCCAGTTTCTTTCAAAGGAAACCGACATATAGATTACTCGTTTTCAATCTTGTCGGTTGTTCATTTAAAAAAAAAAAGAAAAAAGAAGAAGCAAGGGTAGAGTTTTAAAGAAAAAACATAAGAGTTATGTAGTTTCTTGAAGAATATTATAGCATCCGAGTGTCAAGCAACTAGTTATTGCAGCAAAAGCCATCTTTTGCTCCTAGATCCGAGCATGTCGTTTATGTAGTTCCCGCTTGTAAGTTGTATTAGGATCCTTGTCTAGTCGAAGTACTAGTCGGCGATTACTGCAAGCATAATTAAATCGAGGAATCATGGTCGTAGTAATCGGACTCGCTAAAAAGGTCGTGGCGAGTCCTTTAATCGCCTATTTTTCCTAAGTAGATAAAGTCATTTTTTCCGTTGAGAATAAAAAAGCCCCTTGTCAATGAAATTCACCAACCAAAAAATCCTTCATTTTCTTCGTTTCTTGTGCGTAAGTCTTTTCGGCGCTCATTTTCAATGGACTTCAAATGTGATGCTAAAAAAATTGAGCGCAATTGGCGTTCTTCGTATTTAGCCATTTCGAATGTTCGATAGAATTCAAAGGAAACAAAACACCCTCTCTCATGGTAAAATACTCATAAAGTACGTGGGATAATGGATGTAAACTTGTATTGTGATGTTCGTATCCTTCCTTTGTCAAATAATTTAGAGTTTTCATTTATCCATCCTCTCGATTCGAGAGTTATTACTCACGTAGAGGAAATGAATTTGTAATTACTCTTTTTTTATCGAGGCTTAATTGATAATTCCTCGAGGCGGTGCTTGTGAATGCATAACTTTTCATCTAAAATATGACGCCTAAAACCAACCTCCTAAACGGACCTAACACCTACCGAAAAGCCCCCAAACTCGACCACGAAATTGTTACCAACGGCTCTCGAAAATCGTTACAGAGCAACCCCTTTGGAAAGGCCATTTGAATCACCAAAGAAGCTTCACAAACACCCCTAAACCGAGCTTCAAAACCATCTAAAAAAACCCCAAAATCCATTAAAAAAACAAGGCCTAAAACCAACCCTCAAAACGGACCCAACATCTACCGAAAAGTCCACTAAACTCGACCACAAGCCGTTACCAACGACTCCGAAAATTGTTACAGAGCAATCCTTTTGGAAAGGCCATTTGAACCACCAAAGAAGCACTAAAAACACCCCTAAACCAGACTTCAAAACCACAAAAAAAACCCTCAAAATAGACACAAAATATCCCTCAAAACAGACCCATCGAACACTTTTTGGAGTTACTGCAAAAGATGAAATAAAAATTATTTTGGGGTTTTTCTCATTTTTTGTAATTCAATTGATTTTCCATAATTGTTCGCAATGTTACCATATACTCTTTTTTTTTTAATTGCTAAATAGTAATTGTTTATTCTAAAAAAAACAGAGAAAATGATGGGTAAAAGCAACTAACTTATTATATGCATAGATAATAATACATGTTATACATATTTAAATTAATTTTATGTTGATAATTAATCTAAATTGACTATTGAATTAATTAATTAATAAACGGTTATCGATTATTCTATGGAGACGATTTATTATCTATCTTATCATTTCGGATATATGCTACATGCTAGATTTTTATTTTATTATCATTTGTGTTATTTTCATGAAAAAAATATTCATACAAATTTATTGTAAGTATTTAAATATAGAAATATAATCACAGCGATATTATAGTAAATATATAATAATATATTTTCTTTTTTTCTTTTTATAATTATCCAAACAAAAAAAATATATTTTCTTTTCTTTTCATCCTTATTCAAATAACAAGTGAAAAATAATTTTTTTCTATTTTTTCTTTTCTCTCACTTGTTTTACTTTTTTTCTTTCCTTACAAGAGTAATTACCCAAACAAGAGGTATATGTCGTCTCTACTCCCTAGGACCTTTAGGTGGCGCCCAATGCAAAGGTCATTTACCCAATTCAAATAAAAGAGACGGAGAAATGAGCGAGTAGATAAAGATGGGGCGTGTGAGTACGGATTCTAAGACGACACAGGGGGTGAATTTTTTAAGCGGCGTCTTTCACGTGGCAATGCATCTTGGTTCATGCTGCCCACCACTCCTCCTGGAATTCCAATTAATCAAAGATAGACATAGAGAGTAGAGAGTAGAGAGTGAATAGATTCACTGCGTATTGCATTTGCAACCGCTAGCGGACTTTGCAAGGCAAAGCAACCCAAACTTCTTTCACGGTTTCTCTCTTCCCATCCAAAAAAAAAAAAAAGTACTTTCAAGAAAAGCGTGGAAGATAGGTTTTAGGACAAGGCAAAGTTGACGATCATAGATCCGAAATGACAGAAACAGCCCTTGAATTTTTTCTGCTGTACTCCGTGTCAATTATGTTATTGCTCCAGGGGTTTCTTTGTAATATTGTTGAAAAGAGGACCTTGTTTGTTTGTCCGAAATATATAAGAGTATTTAGTACTAACTTTATCAGGTCAGTTTCTCCACCCACAGCCGTTGTCTCTCTCCAATTATTTATCTTTCCAAAAACAAAATCAACTCTTGAACCAAAACCAGTCTGGTTTTATCAGTTTCAGCTTTTGTAGCGTACCTAATATCTATCATCTATTAACTCAATACATTACTTAAAAATGCACCTGTCTCTAACCCCTAAAGGTCATGTCTTTCTTGCCAACGGACTAATGCTTCAGCATTATTTCTTCAGTGTAGAGGTTTTGTAGTTTTTTTTTTGGGATTTTCTTTATGGATTTTGGGGTTCAAGTGGGTTTGGATGGGTTGGTGGGTTCAGACATAAGTAATAGTGGTTTTGCTTCTCTTGGTAGTTCAGATCCTGAAGCAAAGCAGAAGTTGTACGGATCTGGGTTTCTGAAGCAAGAGAGATCTGCAGCCGCCGATGATGATTGGAGGAGCTCTAAATTATCCAAAACTGAGTCAATACTGCTTGACCAGAGAAACACTTCACTTCTGAAATCTAGCTCTAATTCTCTCTTCGCTGACGGACAACAACACCAGCAGCAGATGCTTAGCTTCTCCTCACCCAAATCAGCTCCTTCAGTGGAGAGAAGCTCCCAAAATGCCACATTGCCATACTTTCACCTCACGTCTCCTGTTTATAATAGAAATGCAGGTACCATATTGATCATCACTAAGGATTCCACTGTACGTGGGGTATGCTTCATTATTTGAGGATATGAAAGTGATATCTTGGTTCCCTTTGTGGGAGCATGTGGTTTCTATACATTATGGCTTTATTGGGTGTATTGCAAGGAGCCATGTTTTATTTATGAACTCATAGGTGATGGGTTGTTGTTCTTGGTTAATGTCTGTTTGATCAATAGATGGTATTTTGTTGGTTATTTGGGGTATGATTCCGGTTACTAGTGGTGTGGAGGGGTCATTTCAGTGAAATCTAGGAATGGTCTTTTTTTAAAGACTTGTCAAGATAAAGTAGATTTTTTTCTCATCTGTCTCTCTTCCTGTTTCGGGGTGATGTGGGTTTTGGGTACTAATCGAACACAGTAGACCAGCTTGCTTAAAATAAGAAAAAATTCGTGAAGGTGATAATAGACATAAAAGATCAATTTTTTGTTTAGGATTCCGTCTGTTTCTCCTTTTCTTTGCTTTCCTTTCTACTTTTATGATTTGTTTTCTTGGTCAATCAAGGAGACATTCATAATTGTTTCGGTCTCCTTAAATGTTGCAGATAAAATTTGATTTTGAGTTACTTTCTAGACATCCACACCCTTTTTTCTGTTTACACCCGGAGATTATGACATTTTCTGTTTTACTTTCTCTGATATCTCTAGAAATTTTGAATTTTATGGTTCTGCGTTTATATTTTGACCTGATCTTATATTGTTTTTCTTTTTCCAGGCTACAACTCTGGTATCTTCAATGCCGCCAGCATGCATGGCGTTTTGACTGACAGTACAAGATGGCCATTCACTCAATCACAATGGATGGAGCTTGAACATCAGGCCTTGATCTACAAATACATAAATGCAAATGTGCCTATACCTTCTAATCTGCTTATACCTATTAGGAAAGCTCTTGATTCTTCTGGGTACTCTAGCTTTTCTGGCGGATTTTTCAGACCCAATACATGTAAGTTTTGTTTCTTCCTCTAGAAAGAACAAGAGTTCTTTGTATTTTTTGCCCTTTTGTCTACCAGATTTTCGTTTTTCTCTCTCAAAACGAGTTTGTCTATTTTGATATACAAAGTACCCATAAATGCCTCAGTGCATGTTTAGGTGTGCATCAGTATTTGTGCAAGACTGGTTTCCTTTTCTTTTCTGTGGAATATTAATCCTGTGTGGTTAAATGGTTATAATTTTAACTCATGTGGCCACGGATCATTTTCGCTGGAATCTCTAGCATGTTAGTGAAAAGAAATCCAATCGAGCACCAATTAATAGTCCATGAGAAGAAGTAATTACCTCACCTGAGCAGTCCTGTGAAAAAACCAAATTTCAGCTATAATTCCTGTGCTCCATTTTTTTCGCGTGAATCTAAGTAAACATGGAAGTGCTATTCTTACCTACTCAGAATTTGTATCAAGCAGATTTGCCAGGAATCAAATATCAATTCTATTGCTGACTTTTCTGTTTAAACTGTCTTGTGAAATGTGCAAATACAGTGCCATGGGGTACTTTCCATATGGGTTTCTCCAGCAACACTGATCCAGAGCCAGGACGGTGTCGCAGGACAGATGGGAAGAAATGGCGGTGCTCAAGAGATGCCGTTGCCGATCAGAAATATTGTGAGCGGCACATGAACAGGGGCCGCCATCGTTCAAGAAAGCCTGTGGAAGGCCAATCAGGCCATTCCGTTGCAGCCACCACCACTGTAAAGCCAATAGCCAATGGCACTTCGTCCTCTACATCAGCACCAGTGGTGGGGCTTCGCAGCGCCGTGTCCGACAGCCTCACTATTGCGCGTAACCAGCAGCAACCAGCCAGTTTATCTAATCTTTCTGCCACTAATACTCTCAGCAGGTAAAAGCCAGATGGTGTATACCTTATTTGATTTAAGGCTTTACTGTCAGTTTGGAATCTATTCCATCTTTCGAAATTTTTATCTAATAGTAATTGTAGTTATGCTTTATAGGAAGTTATTGATGTCTTAAGATTAAGTAGCTATTTCTTTTTATACCCGAAAGTAGTTTGTTTGAAAGTTATTGATGGTTTTTGTTTCATGGATAAAACTTGCAGAATGTTCCTTACTAAAGAGAATGTAGGTCAGAGAACGCAACATGCATCAGGCTTGTCCATGCTACCGTCCAACATTGACCTGAAACCAAAAGAAACTCCATTCTTCATATCAAAACAACAAAACTCATACGGGGAATGCTTGCACACTGAGTTTGGACTTGTCGCCTCTGACTCCCTCCTCAACCACTCACAGAAAAGCACATCTTTAATGAGTTGCAGAAATTTTGGTTCCTCTCAAGACCTCACTGATCAAGAAACTGTTTCACAGAACTCCCTTCGCCAATTCATGGATGATTGGCCTAAAAGTCAGTCTGATCGCACTGCTGTTTCTTGGCCTGAACTTGATCTGCAATCTGAGAGAACCCAGTTATCAATTTCAATCCCTATGGCTCCTGCAGACTTCATGTCATCAACTTCCTTTCCAAACAATGAAAAAATCACTCTGTCCCCACTGAGATTATCGCATGAATTTGATCCAATACAGATGGGACTGGGAGTGGGAGTTGGGAGTATTGCCAACGAGCCAAACCAAAGGCAAGCAAATTGGATTCCCATTTCTTGGGGAACTTCAATGGGCGGTCCGCTTGGGGAGGTTTTGCACAACTCCAATAATAATGCAGCAGCAGAGTGCAAGAATGCATCATCACTCAACCTAACGACAGAGAGATGGGACAACAGTCCTCGTGTAGGTTCATCTCCAACCGGGGTCTTACAAAAGTCTGCATTTGCTTCGCTTTCAAATAGCAGTGCGGGAAGCAGCCCAAGAGCAGAGAACAAGACTAACGAAGGTGGCAGTCTCTGCAATGACCTTCTTGGATCAAGCGTTGTGCATTCTTCGTCATTGCCTTCACTGTAACTCTTTGACCTGCCAATTAAGATGTCTTCAGGTGATGCAAGAATATGAAGAAGAGGGAGTCTCATCGCAATTCGCCGCTGACAAAACATGGAATAATTTGTTTAAGTTGTTGATCAGTTTGTTATATTTTTTTTTTTTTGAATTTTTGTTTTTATGTATTTCTGTCGGCTTTGGTGTGTTTAGAAAAAATGTCGACAACTCAGATTGATGATTGCCAATTTGCCGGGCAGAAGGGAGGAACATGCCACTCAGCATGTTTAAGTAGTAAATTGTAACTTGTATCATGGAATTGTGTTTGTCTATTATAATTTTGACATCAGTCTCTCAGTGGGTATCTTATAAACTGTGATTGTTATATTTCTTTTAGTATCTTGGGAGGAGTGTGGGTTGGTGAGGGTTAAATTTTTTTGTAGTAGATATTGTTGAACAGTGGCCTTGTTGCTATAGAAGTACCGTTCATAGCGAGTTACAAATGGAGACAATATGACTCATCTGATATTTGAAATGATCCGTGGGAATTCTTCGTTTAGGGCAGACAGGACATGAAGGGAAAAACTCAGCCAGTAAAATGGCGAGCTTCGTGGACAAATAGAAAATCAACATGGCTAAAACGTACTACCATTCTTTGAATGTTTTATTTTTATTTTATCTTTTAGGATTATTATTATTATTAATTTTTTTTTGTTGTTCAGTCGAACGGAAACAATTATTTAAAAAGATGTTTTTTCATATAAAAGTATTTGAATATAAAATAATTTGTTTGAACGGATAGAGTTTCTATCCAAAAAGACTCGCCCAAAAACATTTTACAGCACGACAGCTAGCAACGAGAGAGCTGATAACAATTCCCGAAGGCCGATCTGAAATGATATATATCAAACGGCTTTCCGCACTCCACGTCGATCACAAGCAAGTTGACTGTATCGCTGGGGATTGGATTGGGCTTCTGTTGACCTTCTTTGTTCATCGGATTAGGCTCTTTCGACTGTACAAGGTTTCTAGCCCTTAGTCTGACATTAGCCTTTCGGCTTTTACCAGCAGAACGAATTGGCGCCGGCAACTCCATGTACAAAAAGAATTTCATGATACTTTTTGTTGCCAGTTTAAGTGAATTGATTAGAGCCAATCACGATAGAGAAAAAGATATGTGTTAGGCTGTTTTTTCGTTTTAATTCAATGGGAGATCAATAAATCTTAGCCAACGCAGTGAGAATCACAATGCCTGAGAAAAAATTCACGTCTCATCCCCATCCCTCCGGAATTGAAATCAAGTCGCTCACGAAAAATTCTTGCCATTGGATTGTGCTTTTTCAAGATTATTTAGATATTAGAAATGAAAGGCTTGGAATGCGAGTGGAATAAGAAATTGGAATGAAATATTAATTCCAATACTACGTTTGGGATGATAACTTTTTAAGATGAAAAATAATGATGATTAAAAAATTATCTTATCAACAATGGTGATGGTAACAATTATGGATATGATGGTCATAGTTATTTAGTGGTAAAAATAGCAATATAGTATAAAGATAGTAATTTAAAAAATTAATGTCATTATCATAAAATTTTATAATAGGAAGAGTGGGTGGGATGACAATAGTGGTAGAAATTGTAACACTTGTTGTAATAATAATAATAATAATAATCATAATATACTTTTTTGAAAAGAAAATACACTATCTTTTATTTTTGTTAATACTAGTTTTTAATATGCGATACGTCGTGGATTGTATAAAACATATAAAATCATTTCCAACATAATATTTTACAGGAAAATAAAAAGACATTTTATGTAAAATCATTTAAAATATATAATTTTAGTTCTGTGGTCCGTCCTATACTTTGGAGTTAGAAATTTGCTTTGTCTAGTTTTTGTTATTTCTGGCATTCCAACAATAATATTTCATGTCAAAGTATAAGAAGTCATTTTTTTTTCTTGTATTTGTAATTGTTCTTTTTGTCACTTAATACCTTGTATTTTTTGTACCGAGTTGCATGAAGTTATTCTTCAAACATGGGTATTTATTTGTTTGTGGAAATATTTTTTTTGTGTAGAGTAGTAGTATTATAGTATAAGAAGAATAAAAAAACATATAAATAGAGGGTTGACACGCTGGACAAAAATGATGGTATTAAATGTAAAGCTGATGCTGTATTAATAGATAAAGATTGTAATTAAATATAAAATGTACTGCATATATCTAGGGGTGAGTAAACCGTTATTGGATTCAATTCGATTTTTGGTTAATCGAATTAAAAGAGACAATATCTGAAATCGAACCAAAATAATTTTTGGTTTATCTGTGAAAAAACCAAAAAAATTTTATTTCGGTTAAATCAGTTTAAAACGAATTTGTCTTATTTGTTTTTTTTTTCGATTTCTGAATGTATTTTGGGCCTCTATTCGAAGGTTTTTCATTTTTTACCGTTAGACTGGCCCATTTCCCATCTTATCTGCACCCTTGCCTTGCCTATATATATATATATATAAAACATGGCCCAATTTTATCATTTTAGGGAACAAGAGGAGATCCAGGTAAAAGTTTCACGATGAAACATCATCAAAACATTAAAAATATCATAATTAAAATACAACCCATTAACTCACATAAAAAAACATTTTATTAAAATACAATCTATTAACTCAAATAAAAAAAGCATATATTAAAAACATCCTAATTAGAATGCAATCCATTCACTCGGGAAAAAAAACATCATCAAAATACAATCCATTTGGATTATATAATTAAATGGATTTCATTTGCTTTCAAGTCTTGACAATGACATTCTTTATTAAAAAAAAAACACCACATTAACTTAAATAATCTATCAAAAAAATTATCATATTAAGCAAGTAAAAATTTAAAACTTATACATGTCATCCAAAAAGCCAAAATACCGTTAATCCACCAAATATTCACGAGCACAGTGTCAATACTGCATCAAACAAACAGCATAGAAATGCAAGTCATCAATCATCAACGCACTGAAAATGCAGAACATAGAATTTTTGGCAGCTTAAAGCCCAAAATGAAAAATATCTTGAAATTATTTTGGGAATTAGACACTCCAAATCAGACTATCATTTCAAAAAGATGATATGGTATGAACAACAATGCAAATTTGAATTTTCCACTAGTTTTAGGCCTTATGCATTGAACAAAATAACAAAAAACAAATGACAAGCTAAATTTGCATCAAGCACTTCTTCAAATCATAGTTTTAATATCTATCTTCCTGTCATTTATAAACATTGGGATTAGAATACTTATTTGTAACAAAATATGATATTAGTTCCCTCTCCTTTCACTTCTCTCTTTACCGTGTTTGGTTCTATTTTTTTGTTCGTATGCTACATGCATTGATAATTAAGAACAAGAAGAAAAGCAAAATCGTCAAGAGAACTGTATGCCTAGTTACCTGCATCATGAGGCTTCCCAAACCAACCATAGCCTTTTAGTTGCTATAAATTTAACTTATTTCCAATATCTTGTGCTTGTTCAAATTATTATTCAAACACAAAAAATTGAAATAATTTCGAGCAAGCATAATATGATTATAAAAATCAAAATGAACCAGAAAACAATGACTGCCATACAAATAGCCCCAAGTAAAACAAGGTTAGAACCAATAATTGAAGCTAAATTGATCAAACTGTTACTATAAGAAAATGTATGGAAAAAAATTAGAACCTAAACTAATTTTCAATCATTTAAAAGTGGGTGAAAGAAACTAGTCTTGTCTTAAGAAGAGATCGAGCACGTAAGTGAAAGGCACGGCAAGAGAGCGAGTTCAACTCGCGAAGGATCAGCAACTCGACAGTTGAAGTAGGATGAGGAGGACAGTGGCTGGTGTGGTGACTGCTGAGTGATGAGGATGAAAGCATGAGGCAGAGATGCAGAGTAGGAGGAGGAGGACGGACAAAGGTTGGTGGGAGAGGTGGGTGGGGTCTGTGGGCTATGTGGTGAGGCAAACTTGCAACTGAAAATGAGACGAAAAAAGTGGCCAGTGACCGTGAATACTGAATTGTGAAATGTGAATTAGAGTTAGAGACGCATAGTAGGGTTTTTTTTCCTTTATAATTCTGCTTTTTGGTTTAAACTGAAATAAAAATTTTGAAAACTGAACCGAATCAAAATAATTTTAATTTTTTAGATTTTAAGTTTAAAATCGAAAGCAAATAAAAATTTGGATTAGGTTTAGTTTTTCAGATAAAATGGAATTATACTCATCCCCTCGTATATCATTTGGTTGTGAATGATTTGCTATTATGATGCACTACAAATAGCATGAATTTATTTTCGTTGATGTAAAAACATTCAATGTTTCTTATGTGTGTTTATAAAGTTTTTAATAAAGTTATTATAGGTTTTTCATTGAAATTTATCGTAGATATATGTATCTAGGACTATTTTACTTCAATGGTCTTAGCATCATTTGTTGAAGCTCTGGACTGTACTTATATTTTTAAAATTATTTTATATGATAATGTATATATAGTAATGAATATGTGTGGGTAGTGTGGTTTGTCTTGAATATGAGAGTGGTTTGTGTTCATGGTGTTGTTAAAATAAAAAGTGCTTGTAGAATATGAATGTAGAACTGGTTTTTAGTGAAGATCATGATATATGAGTTGTACAACAATAGCTTGTCATAAATTGCGAAACGTGTGCAGTGGGAGGTACCAAAACTACATGTTAGCAAGAAGCTTGCAATTTGTAACTAATTCTTGAAGAGTTAACAGTATTTAGAATTTGTTAGTCATTTGCTCATGCTACACCATACACACCATATGCACGGCCGCTTTCCACAATTGCAATAATTTCTTGTTCCTGTTACCATAAAAGGAATCCAACAGACAAATATACATTTTTTTGTATTATACATGCTTCGATCTATGTGCATGAAAAGGCGTCATGACAACGAATCTCACCTTGGTTCAGCAGCCGATAGGTACGAGGAAGCACAGGCATGAACGGACCAATCTTGTGATGCTCACCCAACAACGCCGACAAATATCTGCATAGCAAAAACATATCAAATATCAATTAACCATGCAGTTTGCACAAATATCCGCATGCCGTGCTAGAAATACAAGAACTCTCTACTCTAATTACCCTCGATGGATTTGAAGGAAATCAACCAAAAAAAATTATACAAAAAGAAAAAAATACTGATGATGATGAGATTAGAAAGACACAATTATTGTTAAAATATAAATTAAAACCCAGAATTAAAATAGCTTAATTAATCTATAAAAATTACATGTAATGAGATTAGATCTTGACATTTTAGATTTCGAGATGAAAACATTGATAACAAAAAAGGTTTTCTCTGTTTTAATAATTAAGATAATAAAGATTATCTCTCAACTGAACATGTTAATCAAAATGTAATAAATTAAAAATTTTAATTTATATAATTAAGTAGATTTTGATTGAATTTAAATTTTTAATATAAAATTATTTAAATTATCATATAAACTTTTTATATTAAGTATTATAATTTAATTTTTTAAACTATTTAAATTGATTATTTTAAGAAACAGAGGGAGAAAATCCCACGGAAAAAAGAAAAGAAATCTAGCAATAAAAAAAGTCAGGGAAAGGTTCTGCGTAGCAGCAGTAAATGCTCTGCCAGACGAAGAACATGTAATGACCGAAAAAGGCATAAGAAACAAAAAAGGAATAGAAAAATAATAATGATAAAGATGTATTTTCACAGAATCACTAACTGGCAAAAATGACCAAGAGCAAGAAGCAAGTCACCTTATTAAACCAGGACAAGTTTGTAAAAAACACTCCAGCTTGAACACAAAAATATGCCTAAAAAATTCGACAAAAAACACAAACAACAGCTGGAAAACAACAACGTATCGAATGGCTCCACAAAAATAAGCCCAAAAAATTCGATAAAAAACAGAAAAGCAACAGCTGAAAAACAACAATGCATGCTCTAAAGAATCAACAATGTATACTGATAGATCATTTTCTTATAGTGTTTTGGTTAATGGAGACAGTCGTTATATAATGAATAATAGTAATATCATAAAACAAAAAAAATTCTCACCTCCTTTCTTTATTTAATTCCGACCTTTCCATGAAATGGTTAATTTTCGTTAGTTTTCTATTTTAATTCCCACATTTACATGAAATGATTAGTTTTCATTGTTGAGTAATTTATAAATTAATCCCTCTAGTTTCAAAAAATAAATTAATTAATCTCTTTTTTTACAAAAACTATTACTTAAATCTTTTAATTAATATTTTGAACATGCTTAATTTAATATTATTTTTATCTTTTATTTTGTCAGTCTTCACATGTTTTTTTTCTTTTTTCTAATTCTTAAAAAATCAAAAATAAATTCAAAAAAGCAAAAAAAAAGACTGTTTTACAAGTAAATTTCAAAACACAAATATTAAATCATTAGTTTTAAAATAAAAAGACCTAATTAATTCATTTCTCGAAAAAAGAGACTAAAGCATCATTTACACCCTGACTGTTATGTGAGCTTTCTAATGGATAATAAATGAAAGCCCAATCTGGTTGCAATTGAAAAAAATTAAACTTCGTTGACGTCCGGCATGATTTCCCGTTACATAAAATAGACCAATCGAGTCCATTGGTATGGCAGACTCTTGGCCCAAAACTCACGTTATCAAAACATTTGCGTGAACTAGCAACCGAAAAGTGACTACAGGACGTAGCCAAGAACAAAGCTATTTGAATGGCTTTTAGTCCAATTAACCCTGAAAACCTCGACATATTTACATTCTTCCCTACTTATTCTCGGTGACTACCTTGATTTTTGGTAGCAAAAGCTATTCCCAACATGGTACAATCATTCTGTAAGCAGCACATTGAGCAAACAGATTTCCATTGTGAGTCCTTCCTATACAAGTGTCTAATGACCAACCTGAAGCCATAAACGACAGCCATACAAACATACTTTGGCATCGCCAACAACAAACCCAGTAGGTAGCCCAATTCCAATACAATTTCAAACTTGTTTCTTTTCAAGAGACTCGTTTATTAAGTACATGGTTAAGCATGATTGTGCTGCAGGTTCGGCCCAACAAACCTAAAAAGATAGCCATGGCCAAATCTGGGCACTCGGCAAGAAACAAGATCAAAATAGAGTTGAAGCAGACAAGTAGAATAAAAACAGACTCACAGAAGAGACGGTCAAAAACATAAAACTGGATAGCAATCCATGATGCTATACATTGTCAATAGGAGACCCAGACTATGTCCATTCGTGAAATACATTACCCTACCCAACAATGAGATTGCAAAATGCTCATTTTTTTAAATATTCTCATAGTATATAGTTCTCCAAAATTGCTTAGATGTTCAGGTGCAAGGCTGGCAAAAAACCATAGATGCAAATACAATAGGATATAAAGTACATATGAGAATTGAATACAAAATGACAACCTCATGAACTTCAGAAAACGTTTCCTTTCTACGGGAATAAAACTTAGTTTTGCCCGTATTATACCAGATTCAATCAATGCGACACCAACTGACTGGAAATTCACATACAAAAATATCATCTACCGAAAAAAATATAGAAAAACTAAATCCGAATTTTAGTTTAGAAACAGCAATTTATTGAAGAATGATCTTATGGTCAGGCACGTTTATCTTTATTCAACTGAACCTTAAATTAAAAGACAAGTAATAATATCCAAATTATGTGCAAAGTAGAAAACTAGCAGAAAATCTAGAAAACAAGAAAGAAATCCAACAAAAAAGGAGTTCAAATAAAAGGTAAAAATGAATTCCCGTGATTTGGAGGCGTGCGTAACCCCAATCTATAGAATTTATTCTTCAATCAAAGTAGGGCTTTAAACACCACCAGATTCATTTAAGGAGTTCACAAAACAACACATTTTAAGTAAATGCCTTGCAGATCATTGTCGAACTCCTACAAATCTTTTAGTTATTTCCACCTTCTACACTTATTAAAAAAAAAAAACTAAATTCAATTTAGAAATTATTTTTGCTAGACCATTACAATCGACTCTTATGAAAAGAAATAAACTTTCTCAGCTAAAGTTATGATGCTTCTTAATTTCATAAGATAAACGTCCAAGCAAATCAATCAATAAATGAAATCAAAAGCATAATTTTAACCCAATTGAAAATAAAATAAAACAGAGAATTGAGATAGAATCTGAAACTAAAGATACAAGTTGGTGCTCATATTCTATGGGTGTAAACGAGTCTGTCATGCCATGGCGATAGCATTCAGAACGAGGGATTTTTTTATAATCATCGCAACCAACCCTACTTTTAATCTCTATGTCTATCATAAAATTGATTGATTATACAGGTAAAAAAACCTAAAAAAAAAAGGAGGAAAATATGTCACGCACAGAAATAAGGAGCGGGCGTAGGCTTGTTTGATGGGCGCCGCGAAGCTTTTGGTCTTCCCTTAACCTACCTCACTTATTATATAGACAGAGAAAACAGAAGCAACAAAACCCTAACCCTAATTGCACAATTATAAGCACCGATGGCATGGCATGGAGCCATGGACCCAGAAAGGTTCCAAGCGATGTCGTTTTATGTACTTGTGAATAAGATTGTTATTGGGCTGGCCCGTCCTGATTCTATCCGAGCTATAACTAGCTATGAACTGCTCTTTCAGATCGAATTGCGGGCTGTATACAAAGCTAGAAACCTATATAGTAATAACTAGTATGTATCCCGTGCGTTGTCACGAGATTAATTATATATCATTCTTATGTATTCATTAATATAAAATTTAATATTTATAAATCATTATTTGATAATGTCATACAAAAATAATTTTTTTAAAAAACTAAAACATATATTACATAATTTGTTATAGGATTAGCTAATGAAAAATCAGTAAAGTTGAGTAATATAATATTATTAATTAGATATTTTTTATATAAACATATATTTTATTAATAGCTGATAATTAAAATAATAATGCGGTAGTTTTTTAAATTTTTGATGATTAATTTTTACCATATATTATTCATTTGTAATTTATTAATGAGACAGAAAGACCACTCAAAACAAAAAGATAAAAAAGCTCATCAAATTGAGAACTTGGTAAAGAAAATAGAGATAAAATTACACATGATAAAAATTAAATGAGTAAAAAAAAGTAAAGATTATAAAAGGATAAAAATAAATAAATAAAACTTTCACTAAAAGTGTAGCGTCCTTAACCTAATTCCTTATAAAAACTTCGTATAACTTAGCCATTTTAGTTCTAGAAAACTCAATTAATCACAAAATATCACTTGGGATCGTTAAAACCTCATATTAGAAAGATTATATATTTTTTTTTTGGGCAGCAGGTTACACGGCCTCCAACACGATCGTGTACTTGCCCGTGTAACTTAAAACTCATTTTCCCTTTAAAATAGAAGGTTACACGACCTTCCACACGGGCGTGTACCTTCCCGTGTACATTTTTGCCTAAAACAAGGGTTTTTCAGCCATAACACTTCAAAACCTAATCAACAACGTTCTTTCCACTTATAACCCTTGGATATTCAATCAAAATCACTTTTTCTTTGTTCATAAACACGTCTCAAAACACCTCTAGGAGTTCATATTTACATAGTTACATATACAATTCAAAAATCTCCTAGGATGCATATGCTCGGCATAATGAGAAAGAGGAGAGGGAGATCGCCAGTGACTCGTCACTTATGACGTGAATTGAACAACAAAAGATGACTTTAACTTCCAATTTTTGCTTCTTAGTACCTAAAAAAATAATTGCATTTTTAATGAAATGCTACTCAATGAGAGAACAATAATCCATTGAAACCATAACATGCAATCACGTCATCCAAGTATCATCACGTATAAACAATATAGGTAGTTCATATGACTCGTAAGATTACATGCTTTTCTTTTTCTTATCGGTTATAACTTGGACATGTCAAGTTTCGCCCGAGTACTTGTAACTTGTAAACTTGTACACATGTATTCGTTGGCCAGCTTTTATAACTTGTAGTTGACCCGTTGGGTCCTTGTAAACTTGTATTTGCAAACTTGGACAAGCCAGTCATAACCTTAACCTCTTAGTCTTGCACATATCATGAATGTTTCACATATAAAATATACAACATCCATAGCTTACATCATGATACATATCCATTACAACATCAATAAACATAACGTTTACGTCAACTAGCAAACGACACATCATTTACATCATAGTATCAATATCAATAAACATAATATTGTTATAACATCAATAAACACAACGTTTGCGTCAACTAGCAAACGGCACATCATTCACATCATAGTATCAATATCAATAAATATAATATTAGCACTCAATAACAATAACACATCATGGCACAACTATTATTATTCAACTCACAAAAATGACGTCTTCGCCGTTTATCAATGCGTCGCGTCTCACACATCATGCTCCTCAGCGTCTATAAACACATACACATATACTTTTATAAGTCATTTTATCATGATCAAACTTCTAAATATGCTCAAGGTACAAAACATGACTTTAGGGTTAACTTATTCCTTTATGAGTACTTGACCCCTTTTCACTCTTTCTACCATAAATCCCAAAATACAGATTCAAATGATGCAATTCTAGTTTCACATGAAACTAGACTCATAGAGATCTAACATATCCAAAAATCAAGTCTAGGTACGAAATACACAACTCATGATGATTTTCTAAAAATCGAGTTGTCGCCATTTGTTTATGGGTACTTGACCTCTTGACAGTTCACACTCTTTGTACTAAATATCCTAAAATACAGGGTAAAATGACAAAATTCCAGTTTTACATGAAACTAGACTCAAAGGGGTCTAACATCCAAAAATCAGCCCAATATTTCATATACATGATTTATTCTAGATTTTCAAACTCTAACTAGTTTCCAAGCACCCTTATTACTGAGCGAGTCTCCAAACAAACAACAATAAATCTAGATTGAGACATGATAAAGACCTAATTCTTTTTTAAAAAGAACTAGACATATCAATATAAAACATATCCAAAAATCAGATCGAAACACTCAACACCCAAAGAATACTATATTTTTAAAGTTTGCACACTAATCTGTCAGCATCGGATCACCTAGAACAACATGTGTTCAAACCATCATAACCCAAAATATAAATCACTAAATACAAAACCCTTTTATAGAGACCTAGATAAGACACAAACCAACAATTTTTATTCTTACAACTTGTTCCATATCTGACTTAAAGTCTCGAAATCAAGAGTGCAAAACGAGCTGGAGATGAACTTACCTAGATTTCCAGCTTGATCATCCGAAATTGACAGAGAAATGGGTTTTTCCTCTCTTTCTCTCTCTCAAAATGGGAAACAAGATGGGATAAGAAGAGATAATGATCAGGTAAGTAATCTTGATAAGGTTGTGAAGATATTTTGGCAAAGTTCATTTTGGTCCCTCGAGTTTTGGCTTGTTTTTATTCTAGTCCCCCAACTTAGATTACATTCAATTAAGCCCCTAATTCTTCCTATTATTTCAAATAATTATTATCCAATACCCCACTAACATGTCATATGCAGGTATAATTATATGTGTGTAATTTCTAAGTATGCGTGTATACATGAACGAGTGTATGTTTTTGGGACGGGGTTATTACAAAAAGCATACAAAAAATACTTATAAATAATAAGACTAAAAAAATTTCATTATGCATAAGGCAGGAACAAAAGTAAACATTATAGAATTTTAATGACTAAAATAAAAAAATTAATAACATAAGAATCAAAACAGAAAATGTTTCACTAAAAAAAAAAAACTTAGGATAGTTAAAATGTATTTAATTTTAATTTGAAATGATTAATAATTAAATATAATAAAATTTTAATGATCAAAATAAATGAAAGATCATAAAACAAAAACCAAAATATAACAAAAATTTTTATTAAAAGTAAAAAATAGTTCCTTGTAGGAAAAATTTTAATTATAAAAAAAAATTACAAAAAAAGACTAAATTTTTTTTTTTAACTAAATTTCATGATGAAAAGAAAGAAAGAAAAAATAACAAAATAGAAATTAGAATAGAAAGAAAATTTCAGTAAAAAAAAAATCTTCGGATAGTAAATTTTATTTAGTTTTAGCATAGCAAGGATAAAAATTAAATATGAGAAAATTTTCATAACTAAAATAAAAACATATTAAAAAATAGAAAAAAAAACATAAATTTTTACTAAAAGTTAAAAAAAAAAATTGATTATAAGGATTAAAATCACATATAAGAAAATTTTAATATTTTTGATATGGATAAAAATCAAGTATCGGAAAAGATGAATGACCAAAATTAAAAAAAAAAAAAAAGAATGAAGGGACCAAAATAAATAAGAATTTCCTAAGCCGAAACGGAAGGGAAAAAAAAAGAAAAAAAACAACCGAGCTTGCCCATTAGGCCGAGCCCACGCGTCGAGCTCGTGAGTCGAGCCTGAGCTGCTCGTTAAAAAAAAAAAACAAGGGTCGTAACTTTCGACGATTGAGGTCGTCGGAAGGTCGGGGTTCAAGTTTCGGACCCCTAGAAATTAAATTTTGACATCATTTTTTTCCCGAAACACCTCTAAATGACCGGACTAAAGCTAATAAACATATCTAAAACCTTAAAAATCATTTTAATGCATAGAAAAATAAAAAAAAATTACACAATCAAATCAAAACTTTGTTTCTTTTTTTGGCTCCAATCTACCTCCTCCGATGATTTAATGGCTTGAAACAATCATAAACAAACTCATCTCTCAAAGATAAACAAATCTAGTGGATTTTCACCGATCAAAGGAGCCTAAATAAGCTTGGCCGATGATTTTCTCCCTCCTCTCGTCTCTCTCTTCCCTCCTCCCTTCTCTCTCATCTAGGGATAAAAATGGATGAGCAAATGAAGATGTGAACTCGAAAGATTAGTTGGCAAAGATCAAGGACCAAAATGTAAAAAACTAACGAATAGTGAATTGTGAGTGTGTAAACGAGTGTTTGGAACAATAAACCGAGGTTTTGTTTTAGTTTATTTAGTTAATTTTGTCCGTACTAGAAAAAATTCGATTCTTAGTTTCAAAGAACTTGTTACTCGGAAATAGTGAGAATTTTTTGCAGGATTAGTTTATAAGGATTTTCTTCTCCGACTCTATGCATAAGTGACAAATTAATTTTTTTAAAAAATAGAATCGGATGACTAAATTAAAAGTTAGAATCATGTGTGTGTGAACATATATTATTTGAGAATGAGTTGGTTTATGTTTTATTAAATTCGAATGTTAACTTCATTCCTAATCAACAATGTGATTTAAAAAAATAAACAATCTAGTTAATACCGAGTTACTATCAAACAAATTTTCATTCAAGATAAAACTATAACCTTCTATGACCGAGTCGTGATTGAACTAGTCACTGGGGCAATCCTAGTTATTTAGTTTTCTATCAACAAGATGTATCTTGTAAATTTACAATCGCATTTTTCAGTCTCTAAAATGCTTGAAAAAAAAATCTTTACTCGTTCCTATCAATTTATAGATTTTTATTTGTTTTCCGTAATTCCAAGTGTTGTAGTTAAAAAATTAAAAAAATATGTCGTTTGTGAATACATGCAAGTATAATTAAAATCCAACTCGTAAAATTTAAAGTTGTTTTTTGATAATAAAAATGAAAAAGAGAGAATGAAAATTGAAGTTTTGTTTCTTGTTTATAGGTGTTTGGTTGAAAAAAATAAAGTGTAAATAGAAATGAAAACCGAAAGTGAAAATAAGAATAAAAATTAAACAAAATTTTAATTCCACATGAAAGGTGGAAATAAAAATGATGAATGAGAATGAGATTTTAAAAAAATTACTAGAAAAACCCGTTAAAAAAATCTTATATCTAACAAACTAATTAATTTATTTTTAAGTCTTTTTATTCCAAAATTATATTATTCTTACCAAACCACTCAATACTTAACCCTCAAACGCACTCTAATTGTCCATGAATCTAAATGAGTAACTCTTTTTTACTCATATTTGATTCATTATCCATCAAGGTATTTTAATGGATAGTTAATGGGTCGAGCTAGGCAAAATATCCATTTTATACCTTACCCATTACCATCCCTAATTTGATCAAAAAAAGACATCTATTTAAGGAATGATTGCTCGGATCTTTATAAGCTTAAAATCCATCAATCTTAAAATGAAATTACAAAAAAATTAAACCAAAACCATTAGTTATTATTTACCGCACTATTTGAAATATTGTTCACCCAAATTCATTCGCACTATTCACCTGCACTCGGATATACTATTCATTTTACTATGCGGTAGTCTTTTGTAGTTTTTAAATATTTTTAAGATATTTATTGTAAAAGTTTTCGTGACATTCTATATTGGTCATTCTTTTTTAAATATTATTTTTTATTTTATAAATATTTTTTATTTTATTCTGGTCCAACTTTTTTATTTCATTTTGATCACTTTGGTCCTTAATTTTTTTCTCTGTTTTTTTTTAATAAAAAACATTAAGGCAAAAAGATGCTTAAAAAAAACAATTTACAAAATAAGGTTTTAACTAAAAATGTGAATAGAGATAAATAAATAATGTTTTTTAATAAAAAATTTATGAAAATATAAAGAATAATTAGTCAATTACAAAATTTTGATTAAAAAATGATAAAATTTAATAAATTGTTATTCAGTCTTGATTTGATATATTTTGGACACTCATAATATAACACGAGAAATCAAAATGAAATAATTTTTTAAAAATAATTTATATTTTTTTTATCCGTAGCGTAGCGGGCATAAAAAAAACTATTTGTGCACTAAAAAAAGAAGAAGAAGTGAAAATACAATAACTTATGTCAAATATCCTAACATTACAAGGTTGCCTAAAATTTAAAGATTTGACGGAAAAAAAAATCTCTATACATTTAATAAAACAGAGATATTATTGTGTATAGAGTTGTATTCTTCCTTCTCAAATAAATATGGATCTCATTATACAAATTATTTATGGATCCCATGTCTGTATGCGCGAAAAAAGTACAATTCATGGTATTCTAAATAATTCCTTAATAAGATATTACAAAAATCTATTTTTATATCCAAAATGTTCTTGATGGTTTTAAAATCAACCCGCAACCTTAATAGCAAGAAAATTTTAATTACTAAAGACATTTTGGATAGTAAAAAGAATTTTTGTAATGTTTTCAAATTTTTAGACGGAACGTGTAATTTTATGATATTTTAAAAAATTTATTATAAATTATCCAAAAAGAAACTTCAACTAAACAATGTGCCGATGATGTCACAAAAGGTATTTCAGTTTGAAGTATGAAATACAGAGGACTTGTATTCTCAAAAAATAAATTAATTAAGATCGTGTCATTTTTTTTTTGAAAAAAAGAGTGTTTGACAATCCTAGCTTCCTTAAATCTCTATGTGTATTGGTTCGTATAAAAACATCTTCGAATAAAGCCAAGGCAAGCAAAACTACCATCCTACAATATAAAGATTAAAAGCAGAAAAACTGTTACCGACCTGATGTTTTAAGAAAAAATGGCAAATATTCAGCAGAAGACTTCAAAATCCAGTACTTAAAAGTATTGGTGAAAAATCATTTTCTGCAAACAATAAGGTTTAGGCACGAAAAATACGTTTCATTAAAATCCAAGATGTACCAAACAATGAAAGAAAAGTATATGCAACGACAAATTGACTAAAGTTTTCTAATTTGTTTCTAAAATTTTGTAGAATTCAGGAACCTGTACATTTCTACAAGACTAAAATGTTTAAATGCTGACTAGTTAGTTACGCTAGCGACATTCAAATGAGACAAATCATCAGGCCTTGTTCTGTTCCCATACAAAATTGGATTTTTGCTGATTACAAAAGAAAAATTGAGAGAGCATTATTATGTCCGCAAGTCTGCTGTCAAAGCATGGACAGGTACAGCACCCCGTAACAACAAAATTAACATATTTTTAGACCATCCCTGAATCTGTACCGAAATCTTTTTGTTACAATATGGATATAACTGTGACAGCCTGATTGGTTATTACTTTATCAGTATCCAAAATCCATATTATAGAAGCCAGTCGATGCTTAGCATTTGCAATTGTTCAACTCTCTCTCTCTCTCTATATATATACACACCAAGCAAGCAATAAACATAGCTGAAAATGAGAAGTTAAACTACCCTCTACGATTAAGATTGCTTGCCCTTTGTAATCAATATCTTTCTGCCTGGAGCTACATGACATGGACTCGCTTGACCATTCCATTTCCAAGTTGTTGAAGCGTAGTCCTTCCAACTTTCCAGGCAACTTTGCTACGTTTCTTACTAATCGTGTATGATATAAAATCCCTAACAAGCTGGTCATCCTTTTCTTATTATAAATATGTGTACTCCTTTTAATTACTTACATAACCGACTGCCTTTCTTTCTAAGGAAATTAAGTAAGCCGTTAAAGGCATAAAGCACACGAGCAGCTTCCTTTTTAAAAGCCTAACCATCCGTATCTCTATCCATCCCAGCAGAAAAGAAAAAAATGAGCCACAATGAGGTAGTCCACTCAAACGTAAGCGTACCCTTTTCGTGGGAGCAAAAGCCTGGAGTGTCCAAGGCTGCACACCAAGAAGTACGCCCCGTGGATACATGGCATTTCAAACTGAAATTGCCTCCTCCTCCTTGCGCGTCAAAGATTCCTAGGTTTCCTTTTGATGATAATGTGCAAGTTCCTTTGATTCCGTCTGCTCTTCTGACTCCATCAAGTTCTTCAAAGAAGGCTATCAGGACTCAAGAAGACCCCTTTTTGAGGGCTTACAAGAAGTGCGCCGGGTACCCTATAAACGGCAAGCTGTCCAGTGATAGCAAAACTGATCAAGGAAGGCCTAAGATCGGGAGGAAGAACGGCGGTGGTCGCAGTAGTTCTCTCTCCTGCAAGTACTCTTGTTCTGTTGCTGATGATAATTTGGTAAGAACGTTTCAGTTCTCTACACCAATTTCCAAAAGCGAAGGAGCTGGAAAGGGACGATTAATGGCCAGTAGGTTTGCTAGCCAGTGATTATAGCCGTTTTGTCTTGCACTAGTGATCTGCAGTTTGTAGCATATTGTTCATTTCATGTTCAATAAAACAATGCTAGGAGTTCCAAGAGATTAACTGAACTTCGTTGTTAGTAACTAAATCTTTATGTTGTCACCAGTTGTAAAGGGAAAGTCTCAATTTTTGGTTCAAATTTCGCCCTTCTAACTCTTAAAATTTCTCGAATTGTAATCCGATTAGCTCTACATCAACTCAAACACTAAAAACTCCCACAGTTTCAGTCATAATTAGCTCGGTTACCCCCATGGTAAATGCATTGAATGAGTATCTCGAGATACATGCAGCACCTTCGGTAAATTTATAAAATGGTAAACAGAGACTTTGGACAAACAATATAACGTGTCGCTCAATGTTCAAAGGATTGACCATTGATTTTTGAAATTTATGTAGCTGTCCAAGTTAAAGAAGGATACCCATGGAATACTTATATTTAATATTATACGCAACTGCGCATTTAAACTTCTGAACAATCTTTTGTCGCTACGTGATTAATCAATAAATTTGGCTAAAACGAAGAAACATCCCTCAACGGTTTTTGATTGACGCTTTTATATTTTTTTCTTTTAATTTTAATATTTAGACTGTGGATTGTTTGAATTAGAACTTTGTTATTAAATTTCAACTGGACCCCTATCAAATGAAAGGTTTAGTGGACGAGAGTTTATTCATATTCATATCAATTCTAAATCTAATTGTCACGGGATATGAATGTTTTTAAGACCTCAAAATTTCAAATTGAAAAACTAAAACTCGCAGTTTTTTATTCTATTTGATCTGAGTTTAAAAATAGTTGTTTGTATTAAATTGTTACTTGCAGGGTTGAGATGATGGTTTTAATGATCTTTTAGTTGATTTTGTGGTAATACGGTGGAGTTTCATTAGTGAAAGATGACAAAATGTATCATAATCTAAATATGTAATTTAAATATTAAAATCGAATGAAAAAAATATAGGGAGCCAATAAAAAATGGTCGATAATTCAGGGAATTTTGGAAGGCCTACCTTTTAAGTTTGTGAATTTTCCGTTATTTCCGATTATCGAGGAAGATTACAAGTGTAAAATTACAGTAATAGGTGGCTTCGTTCGAATTAATGGAGCCAACTACTTCTTCTTACAAAATTATGAAATTTATTTATGCATCGATTATATGTATACACATAACCCAGGAAAGAAAAAGGAAAAGTTAAAAAAAAAAAAAACTAAATGACCTAAAAGTATTGTGAATTTTCCATATAATTTTATAATGTTTAGAAATTTTATTTTAACTATTATAAACTATTTTTTAAATAAAAAACAGATGCTTCCGTTAATTTTGACTTCATGCAACACTTTTAGAAAATGACACGTATCCATATCCTAATACCCACCCCCCAACAAAATCTTCCTTTCTCCTAATGAACATAAGAAAATAATAAAAAAATTCTGAATTCTCTTCCATCCCATTAACTAATAAACAAAAATAAAACACAATTTCACTATAGCTATACTATTTGAAATACTATGCATACACTCATATTTCATTATTCATCCTCTCACAATTCATTTTAATTTTCATTATTTATAACTTTTTTTACACTTTGGTCACCGATATTTTAGAATGTATATTTCGATACATATGTTCATTTTCTCATTCATTTTGATCCCCGGGTGGAGAGAGAAACCCGAGAGGAAGAGAGAGACGGGAGGAGAGAGAGATCGCCGATCAAACTCATTTAGGCCACTTTGATCGACGAAAATCTACCATATCTTTTTATCTTTGAGAGATGAGTTTATCCATTGTGATTTCAAGCCATTAAACAATTAGAGGAGGTAGATCGAGCAAAAAAAAATCCGATTTAATTTTGTATTTTTCTTTATTTTTTTGTGTATTAAAATAATTTATAAGGCTTTGAATGTGTTTATTGGCTTTATTTCGGTTATTTAAAGGTATTTTGGAAAAAAAATGATGCCGAAATTCAATTTTTAGGGGTCCGAAAGTTGAATCTCGATTTTTCGACGAACTTCCGACGACACAGGTTTGTCGGAAGTTGCGGGTTTTTTTTCTCTCTTAAGCTACGAGCAAGGCTCGGCACGCGAGCCTATAATGGCGAGGCCCAAGCACCGGCTCGCTTGCGGCCTAAGCGAGATGAGCTCCTCTTCTTTTTTTTTTTTAAATATATATTATGTGCAACCAGGTGCACACACTCTCTCTCTCTCTCTCTCTCTCTCTCTCTCTCTCTCTCTCTCTCTCTCTCTCTCTCTCTCTATATATATATATATATATATATATATATGAAGGAAAAAAGCAATAAAGAAAATTTTCTACCAAAAAAAAAGTGAAAAAAAATAAAAAATAAATTGTTATTTTTTTTAGTTTCCGATAAAGTTTAAAGATGATATATATATATATATATATATATTACTTTTATTGTTTAAATTTAATTTTTTAATTATTTATTTCTTATTAAAATTCATATAAAAATAATTTTTTCATATAATTTTATTTGTTAATAATTTTATTTTTTTAATATGTGAATTTTGAAATGAAATTTTAGAACGTTAGTGTTTTATTTTTTAAATATATCATTATAATTTATATAATTTTTTTTTTACTTTTTAAATGAAATTTTTTTGTTGATTATTTTTATTATTTTAAATTTACTATTTTAATTTGTCATTTTTTTCAAAATTCTCATCCATTTAATTTCAAATTACATTAAAAAATTTTTAATATATTTTTTTCACTTTTGAATTCATATATTTTTATATATTCGCATCATAAAACAAACTACCAAACTACAATAATTTTTCTAAAAGCTTTTATATATTTTATCCTATTCGTAGCGTAGCGCGGACAAAAAATCTAGTTGTTTACGTAACTTTTCCCTTTCTCTCTCACTGTCAATAACACACCATCGATTGACTTCCCTTTCGTTTTGGTAATTTGATTGACACTTGGTTTTTGCCGACTAATTATTAATGTCCTTTTAAACCCATGTTAGGATCGTGTTGATTGTCCGCTTCTTGATTTTTAAGAGGAAGAGAGAGGTGTTTTAAATCAAATGGAGATGAACTTTTTGAAAGTTGTTTCTTCCGTGGCTATTATTGGTCTAATGGCAAACAATGCAAGCAATTTGGGTGGTGACTACATAGGTATGACTTACAACATATAATATATATCTTATTCAACTTAAATTCTATCATTTTTGGTGGGTAACGACATAGGTATGACGTGCTGCATTTGATATCTTATTCAATTCAAATTCTATCTTTGTGTGTGAATTAGTTTCATCAACTAAAAGTCGGATTAAGCATTGGCAAATTTTTACCAAAAACCATAAAACTTGAGTTAAAATTTTCCTTTATACGATGGACTAATTATCACAATATAAACAAACAATTATTGTATTCCTAATTTCTAAATTAGTTGCAAAATCACACGGGTAGCAAACCTCAAAATCCACTTACCTAAAGTAATTGCGAGTTTTGTCAACATTGTAAAATTTTTGGAACTTCAACATTTTATATATTTATTAATCGATACATTTAATTTTGTAGAATATTTAGGTTATCCACGGAGTTTTTTGAGGGAGTTACAACCTATGTAAAGAAGACTTCTTATGCCATCGGTTGCCTCGATATAGCTTGTGATTCGATACTCGGTTTCATAAAGCAATACTTGTAATAACCTCGTCCCAAAAACATACACTCGTTCATGCATACATGCATACTTATGAATTACACGTATATAATTATACCTGCATATGACATGTTAGTAGGGTATTGGATAATAAGTATTTTGAATAATAGGAAGAAATAAGGGCTCAATTGAATGTAATCTAAGTTGGGAGGACTAGAATAAAAACAAGTCAAAACTTGAGGGACCGAAATGAACTTTGCCAAAATATCTTCATAACCTTATCAAGATTACTTACATGATCATTATCTTTTCTTATCCCATCTTGTTTTCCATTTTGAGAGAGAGAAAGAGAGGAAAAACCCATTTCTTTGTCAAATTCGGATGATCAAGTCGGAAATCTAGTTAAGTTCATCTCCAGCTCCGATTTGCACTCTTGATTTTGAGACTTTAGGGTCAGATATGGAATAAGTTGTAAGAATAAAAATTGTTGGTTTCTGTCTTATCTAGCTCTTTGTGAAAGTGTTTGATATTTAGTGATGTATATTTCGGGTTATTATGGTTTGAACACATGTTGTTCTAGGTGATCCGATGCTTGGCAGATTAGTGTGCAAACTTTAAAAATATGATATTCTTTGGGTGTTGAGTATTTCGTTCTGATTTTTGGATATTTTTTATATTGATATGTCTAGTTCTTTTTAAAAAAATAATTAGGTCTTGATCATGTCCCAATCTAGATTTATTGTTGTTTGTTTGGAGACTGCTTGGTAACAAGGGTGTTGGAAACTAGTTAGAGTTTGAAAATCTAGAATAAATCATGTATATGGAATATTGGGCTAATTTTTGGATATGTTAGATCCATTTGAGTCTAGTTTCATGTGAAACTAGAATTTTATCATTTTACCCTGTATTTTAGGATTTATAGTATAAAGAGTGTGAACTGTAAAAGGGTCAAGTACCCATAAAGAAATGGCGACAACTCGATTTTTAGAAAATCACCATGAGTTGTGTATTTCATACCTGGACTTTATTTTTAGATATGTTAGAGCCCTATGAGTCTAGTTTCATGTGAAACTAGAATTGCATCATTTGAATCTGTATTTTGGGACTTATGGTAGAAAGAGTGAAAAGGGGTCAAGTACCCATAAAGAAATAAGTTAACCACTAAAGTCATATTTTATACCTTGAGCATATTTAGAAGTTTGATCATGATAAAATGACTTATAAAAGTATATGTGTATGTCTTTATAGACGCCGAGGAACGTGAGGTGTAAGACGCGACGTATTGATAAACGACGAAGATGTCATTTTTGTGAGTTGAATAATAATAGTTGTGTCATTATG